TCTCTCTCTCTCTCTCTCTCTCTCTCTCTCTCTCTCTCTCTCTCTCTCTCTCTCTCTCTCTCTCTCTCTCTCTCTCTCTCTCTCTCTTTTGTGCAGACATAAGGGAGTTAGTCTCTCTCGAGGATGTCATGGAGGAGCTGAAGCTTGGGCCAAATGGAGGCCTCATGTACTGCATGGAGTATCCTGCTCAGACAGACACTCAACTTACGCAAACCAATCATATCATGTTGCTAAACCCTTTTCATTCAACTTGCTAACCCCAAATTCGTAACCTCCCTCCCTCCCTCCCTCATTATGTCATATAGCCTCAACTCGAGTCCGGTACTGCTCCAGCCCTGTTGTTAAACCCCTCCTAGCTTGTTGTTAAACCCCTTCCACTCAACCGGCTAGCCCTCCGATTCTTAACCCCCATAATAACTTCATACCCTCAACTCCAGTCAATCATTAAATCCTCGGCCATCCCCACGTTTCATGGAGCGTAGCCTTGCTAAACCACCTCGACTGCTACCATTGCTCCCGCCACTACCTCCTGAAAGATGGGACCAACCCGAAACCCTGAAAGAAGCACTGTGGTCATCAGATCGTGGATCCCATTGGGGCAATTGAAAAGGTCAGGCCTCCTGGCAACCAGGGTGGTTGTAAAACAGGATCACTATTATTCGGGGTTTAATTAATTGGGGTTTAACTGGGGTTTAAGTAGCCTATACCTGGATTTCGTTTCGCTGGCGACAGCTTGCATAGATCTTTCAGAAAAAGACAGGAGGCTGAAAATTTATTAGCCCACCTTTTCTCCCTGCTTTCCTTCCTTTCAGTCTTTAGTTTTTCTTTTTATTTTGCTTTTTTTTAAAATGTTTTCCATGTTTTTCTTCTCTCTCTTATGCAATTCGCATCTAAAATTCTCTGTGCCAGAAAGAAAAGAATTGTGTTTTATAATTTTATTTGCTTTTCTTTTTTTCTTTGGACGTTTTAACTTTTAAATTGTTTTTCATGCTTTTATTTTCTCTTTTGAAGTCTCTTTTCCACAAATTTTATATGAAATTCGGTGCCCACGACTCCTTAGCAAACGCTGTTCAACTTTTTGTGAACGTCTGCCACACAAAAAAAACAAGGTACATGGAAGAGAATTTGGATGAGTGGCTTCACGAAGAGCTGGATGACTACATCGATGACGACTACCTTGTTTTTGATTGCCCTGGTATGTGATTTGTTTTGCTTACAGACTCAGATTCTTTGTTTTTTTTTGCATGGTAACTGCGGACCCGGACACCGGACACTTCCGGACTGTTTCCCGGACCTGTGTCTGGACCAGTCCGGACTGTCCGGTGTTCCTGACATCACCGGACACCGGATGTCACCGGACACCGGATGTCACCGGACACCGGACTGTCTGGACTGTGTTGGCAGGGACAAGATATCCGGGGAAAAAAAAAAAAAAAAAAAAAAAGGCGGGGAGGGAGCTCACCTGGTTCGCACTTCGTGCCCCCTATTTCCCGAACATCAACAATCAATCAATCAATCTCC